GAGGACAGAATTTCATCTCAAATTTGGTAAGTTAAGTAAATCCGAGTAAAATAACATAGGGACCAAATAAAAGTTACCAAATTAACATGTTATATATAAAAAAAAATTAATAACAACTCAATAATGGACTAAGAGGAAAAAGTGCGAGAATTTGAAGGACCAAAGAGCAATTTTCTTAAACAGCTTTACAAAACAAAAGGTTGCAAAAGTTAATGTTGCCGTTTCTAAATATCCAAACAAATTCAAGTCTTGCGTCTTCACTGTTTATAGAATTGCAATGTAATTAGGCATATAATTACCATAACAATGCTCAGCTTCTGTATGCGTAGGATTAGCATGCACTTTGACGAACAAACTGGCCTTTTACTCGTGTGCACTCTCTGCAAGCTTCCTTCGGCTCTCCTATCGAAACTTCAAAAATCAGATTCCATCCCCCTCCATCCAAAAACCGAGCCCCCCTTCTTGTAGCTCCAAATTTTTATAGTAAATAATTATTATTCCCCCTTTCCAATGTAATGCTCCCCCAGGTAATGCTCTCTCCACTAACATAGAAAATTCCCTAGCAATATACTGCTTTCTCCACTAACATAGAAAATTCCCTAGAAGTATAGTGTTCTCTCTTTTACTCGTGGAATTCGGCCCCTTTCCTGGTGGCCTATACTTTTTCTTTTGCTTTCTATTTCTCTGCCTTGATTTGTGACGTTGTAGGGTATAGGAACTCATGGGTGGCCGACAGGTGTGGGTGCTTGGTGGATTCGTGCGCTGCTTCACATGGGGTGCACGAGTGTGGGTCTATAACCAGGTCCGGGTCATGTTTAGAATGTTGAATGGGCTGAGTGATTTGATTACTGCTGGGCTTTTTTTGTTGGGCCTGGATTAGCCTGCAAACAATAAAACATAAATAATATTAATATTAATAATAATAAATATATAATAATAATTTTAATATAATATTTAAAACTCGGACAAAAATGGGTGTCTACAATATTATTATTTTAGGTGACGTGACACATATCATATCAGTAATTAAACACATTTTGAAATATTACCGTAGCAACATGTATTAATCGTTAATCAACTAATGATTTCCTCTCAACGTGAAGTATTTTGATAAAAAAAAATTGAAACAATGGAAGCTAAAATATCACGGAAAAAATAAAAGACAAATTGATCATTTGTTTAAACATTTGAGATAATTTTATTATTATATCTAAAAATATATAATACATCATTATAATTTTTTAAAATAAATCGAGTCAATTTCACAAAATAAATAAAAAGGGTATTAATACTGACGATATACATTTTAAAAATTAAATTATAATAAATAGATTAAATTTGTCAATTAAATCTTTCAAAAGATTACAGTACATCATCTTTTATACAATCGACCTACTATAAATCATTAACATTTAGAAAATTTATATAAAAGTACAATTTATTAAATATATATATATATATTCGGATGTATTTTTTTATAGATGAAAATGAAAGTTTTTTTTATTAAATGAAAACGAAAGTTGAACGAGTAAACTTATGTAATAAAGGATTAAAAATTTAAAGGGTCAAGCTGGATTTATTCAAAAAGTCGTCTTCTAACAGAACAATAGCAGTTGTTGTATGAATTAGGTGGCGTTTGGTTCGTTGGAATGTTTATAAGGGAATTGAAATCTGCGAAGGAATTGAAATCTGTCAGGAGTTAGAATCCAATTCCATATTCTGTTTGGTTGGCAGGAAATTGAATTGGAATCCAATTCATATTCTGTTTGGTCCGCAGACATGTCAGATGAATTTGATTTCAGTAATATAAAATGACAGAATTGCCCTTCTTATTTTTTTTGCTTAATTTTAGTTTGTTTTATAAATTAAATGTAACAATATATTATAAAATTTTAAAAAAATATTAAATTTTAATTTTATTGATTGATTATTCATTTCAGTAAATTATAAAAATCATGCTAATAAGTATCATAAGTTAAAAACATGCCAATTAGGGATGTCTATGTGTCGTGTTGGGTCGGGTTTTTGGTCCACCCGACCCGACCCGAGAACAAGGGAACCTCCATCTGAGACTCGACCCGACCCGACCAAAATAAAGTTTCACCCGACCCGACCCGAATATATGAATTAGAAACCCGACCCGAAATAATAAAAAATGTTTTTATTCAATAAAAACAATGACTTAATTGAAAAATATTATATATAGAGGGGTATTATTGTAATTATTCATAAATATATAAGGTAAAATTATATATTTTATCGAGTCGGGTATTTTTCACCCTAAACCCGAACCCGACCCGAATACCACACTTAAAAAAACCGACCCGACCCGACCAAAATAGAGTTTCGCCCGACCTAACCCGAATATATGAATTAGAAACCCGACCCGACCCGAAATAATAAAAAAATTATTTTTATTCAATAAAAACAGTGACTTAATTGAAAAAAGTTATATATAGAGGGGTATTATTGTAATTATTCCTAAATATATAAGATAAAATTATATTTTTTTTTTGGGTCGTGTCGGGTCGGGTATTTTTCACCCTAAACCCAAACCTGACTCGACCGAATATCACACTTAAAAAAACTCGACCCGACCCGAACCTGAATTTTTTTTTAAAAAAATAGGACCCGATCAGGTCAGGTCCGAGTTGAGTGGTCATCCCTAATCACAATCAAAATATATTAATAAGTTATCAAAATATTGATGAAAGTATTATGGTCAAATTTCACATTCCCTCCAACAAAGGAATTGAATTTCATCATAATTCACTTTCCCTCATTTGATGGAAAATTGAAGTCATGAGGGATTCCAATTACCTTGGAAAACTTGAACCAAACATGGGAAAGTGGTGGAATTGGATTCCAATTCCCTCAAATTCTAAGGGATTCCTGCGAACCAAACGTCACCTTAATGTAATTAATGTGATTATTTAGAGGATTTTTTTTAATTTTTTTCATTATTTTTCAAAAATAAAAAATAAAGAAAATAAAAGAATTATCATTTCGTCTAGTTCCAATAAATTTTTTAAGTCTAAATGTGACTGAAGGATTCATTTTATTAGTAAAATATTTTATTAACAATTAATTGATTTGTAAAATTAAGTGTTTGATCAGTTAAATAATATTTAAGATTTGGGTCATTATTAAAAATGGAGTATATTTTTCTCATTTTTTGAGAAATAATTTATTATTGACCTGCTAAGAATGACGAGATCAGTCTTTATTGAAAATTTTAAATTCTCATATATTTATATATTTTTTATTAATAACTTATTTTCATCTCTTCGAATTTTTATAAATTTTCCCCCTAAATTATTATATTTTGATCCCTAATGTAATGAACTCTGACGAGCAACGCTTTCACAAGTATCGCTCATGTCTCATTGAATATCATTTCAATCACCGAAATATCTTTTTATGGATTCGTGAAGCTGTTAACGATGGCTCTGGTCCAATTCATACCAAAAGTTTGGTCCATAGATGTACAAAGAAGTGAAGCCATTTTTCCGATGGATATGAAAGGAGAGAGAAAGCCCAACAAAGAAAACCATAACCATAAGGAAAGGTCCATCTTCCTCGGAATTCGGATAATACAAGAGAAAATAACTTCAGTGACCGAAAATACCTTATAATAAATGATTTTAACCAACTTTTTTTGGATTTGAGAAAATGACCAACAAATTCGTAACGCGAAAGTCAAATTCGCAACGCCAAAGTCAAAATTGTAACGCGAAAGTTAAATTCTCAACGCGAATAGTTAAATTGCAACGATAATATGTAATTCGCAACGCGAATAGGTAAATCGCAATGATAATATGTAAATCACAACGTAAATTCTCCAAATTCGCAACTCGAATTTTGCAACGAAAACGAAATTCGCGTTGCGATTTTGGAGAATTGTGTTGCGAAAACGATATTCGAGTTGCGATTTTCCAAATTCGCAACGCGAATAGGTAAATCGCAACAATAATATGTAAATCGCAACACGAATTCTCCAAATTCGCAACTCGAATTTCGCAATGTTAATTACCTATATCGGTAATTAGCGTTGCGAAAACGAAATTCGCGTTGCGATTTTCCAAATTCGTAACGCGAATAGGTAAATCGCAACGATAATATGTAAATCGCAACACGAATTCTCCAAATTCGTAACTCGAATTTCGTAATGCCAATTACTGATATAGGTAATTAGCGTTGCGAAAATGAAATTCGCGTTGCAAAAACGAAATGTGTTGCGATTTTCCAAATTCGCAACGCCAATTACCGACATAGGTAATTAGCGTTGCAAAAATGAAATTCGCGTTGAGATTTTGGAGAATTGCGTTGCGATTTTCCAAATTCGCAACGCGAATAGGTAAATTGCAACGCGAATTCTCCAAATTCGCAACACGAATTTCGCAAACGCTAATTATCGACATAGGTAATTAACGTTGCGAAAATGAAATTCGCGTTGCGATTTTCCAAATTCACAATGCGAAATCAAATTCGCAACACCAATTACCGATATAGGTAGTTAGCGTTGCGAAAATGAAATTCTCGTTGCGATTTTGGAGAATCGCGTTGCAAAAACAAAATTCGCGTTGCGATTTCCCAAATTCGCAACGAGAATATGTAAATCGCAACGATAATATGTAAATCGCAATGCGAATTCTCCAAATTCGCAACTCGAATTTCGAAACGCTAATTACCGATATAGGTAATTAGCGTTGTGAATATGAAATTTGCGTTGCGATTTTGGAGAATCGCGTTGTGAAAACGAAAATCGCGTTGCGATAGTACTGTTTACCTATGTCGGTAATTAGCGTTGCGAATTTAACTTCTGTGTTGCGATTTACATATTCGCGTTGCGATTTACCTATTCGCGTTGCAATTTTTGAATCTGTGTTGCGAAATTGGAGTTCGCATTGCGAATTTGTTGGTCATTTTCGTAAATCCAAAAAAAATTGGTTAAAATCGTATATTATAAGACATTTTCGGTCACTGAAGTTATTTTCTCATAATACAATTACCTCAATCCTTTCTGTTCCACTTCACACTTCTTTGTTCTCATGCAAAAGCAGAGTTTTGAAGGATTAAGGGTGGAAAATGGCAACGGTCTCCACATTTTTAACTCCTTTACGTTTAGTCTCCAATACCCATTTTAAATCTCCCGAAAGCCTCTCCTTTTATCCTAATTCAATCCATTTTCAGACCAAAGTTTGCTCATTTTCGTCCAACAACTTATCATTGTCCTCCAAAACGACCAAAACTCTTCATGGGACTTGGAAACTCAAGTCTGCTGAAGAATGAGAAACATATGTTGCTGAGCAACAAGACTCTGTTTCTGTTCCTGTCTCTCCCTCTGACACTCTCAGAATGTACTTCCAGGTATGGGTTTTTGTTTTTCACTTTGCTACTTAAATTATGAAAAAGTTCAATTTGTTTTTCATTAACCAAGGGGGAATTGTCATTATCTTTTTTCAAAGGGTTGCTTTAGATAATGTTGGATTTTGAACTTCTTTTTTGAGTTTTGCTTAAATGCTTATCTATTTGTTATTGAATTCTGTAAAAATGTATCATGTTTTATAGTAGTGCTTAAAAAATCTCCACTAGGGGTGCATCGTTCAATTACTTATTGCATAGAGTTTGAATTCTTGAAATTAGGCATAAACCGGTTCCACTGACTAGTTTTTGCTTGAAATTGTATATTTGTCTGCAAATTTATTCCCTTGGAACTATTCATTCATAGGTCACTTACAATCAATCTTGATTGTTTGAAGGTAGATGGAATGTTGAATGAAGCTGAAATTCCAAAGGTAACTAAGGCATTAGAGGTATATAATCAACCTTTTGACTTTCAAGTAAATTATAACAACATTTATGTTTTGCAGACAAAAATGATCATTTTGATAGGCAACTTGGTAGATTTATCTTCAGATTGAATGAAGGGGAGGAATCTAACTTCTTTTTTCATCCGGTGTCCTAATCATAGTCTAGTGTTTCACTCGATCCCTTAGAAAATGGCTTCTTACAGAGGAAAAGATTTCACATGATTGCCTTGTATTATCTCTCACCGAAAAGTAAAAGAGAAAAATCTATAATCATATTGTTGTTTAATTGTACTACTATGTTTCTGTCGATATTATTGATGACAGGTTCTTTGATTTTGTTTAGAGTATATACTATAATTGAATCTGATGAGATGATTTATTTGTTTGTTACAGGGAGCCGAAGGCGTTTCCAACTTGAAGGTTCAAGTCCTTGAGGGTATTAGTACTGTTGAGACGAGTGTTCTTTTTGTTGGTGATTGATATGTCTTGTATTTAAACTTTCAGATCACTTCCCATGAGCACCTTTGATCTATCGGGTCATAAAACTCGAATTCATAGTCGAACGAACAAAAATTAAACAAAACAATCAGTCTGCTTTTCCTGTCTTTATTACAAGACCCTTTGCTCTAGGACTCCTAACTTTGATCCATGGTTCATTCATCGAGTTTTCTACATTCCATTCATTCATAGAGTTTTCCCGTCTTTATTCTGTTCTTTCTCCGTTAACTAAATAGACGACGGTCCAAGCTACCGGAGTGGCATCCAATTTGGTGGAGCTCATACAGGGTGCAGGATTCAAGTTACAGACATTGAATTTGAGCTTCGATGATGAAGAAGACATTCTTGTGTAGATGTCGTATTTAGATTTTGAAAAACTTGTCGTTGAAGTTCTCTGGCTCCTTTCTTTTGATTCATCTATTCAAGAATTGTAGTTAAACATGAAAAAAATGATATTCTTGATAGAGAAGATCTGTTCAAAATGGTAATGTAAGCCTTTGCCTTATAATTGAGTTGAGTTCAATAAACTTGAGCTGAATTTGTAACTCAAAGCATGAAATTTGATATGAAGAATGAAAATAAGCGATGACATAAATCTATTACATATAATGGTTATGTCGCAAACTAAGGAAATTATTATGAATTTTAATTATTTAATTAATATTTTTTTCATACTTCGTAACAAACAAATCTTTGGTGTTAGACATGGATGGAGTAAAAAGTACTGAACATTTTTATCAAACCGATTCAATTTATATCCAATAAAAGGTCACTAATTTTGTTATTCATCTTATGTCATTATCGATGTATAATTTTAAAGATTATTACATGGATGAATATTGAATTCATTTATTCATGCTGTACACTGTCCTTCCTCTAGTTTGGTTCAAGATTATTACAAAACAAATGCCACAGCCTTGTACTACCAACTTTGTCTAATTCTTAGAGATATAAAGAGGATAGTGCAGCAGAACAGCAAAGTCGAAGCTGGCAGCTACTAACCATCTCTAGCTGGAATCCTTATGAAAATAAGAGCCTGACCTGACCACTCTCCAACTTGTCTCAAAATATCAATTTTCTCAACTTCTAGTTAATGCCAAGGTTGCTGTAATATTACTTATCCAGAAAAAAAAGTTGCTGTAATATTTTTGTGTTTTTCTCGTCTGTTCTAAATTTCTAACATGAGTCCCATTCTCTAAAACTTACTGCCTATAAAATTTTAAAATTCTAAATAAGATTTTCAGCTCCAATTTTACAGTATATATACTTGAAATTATTTTCTGCTCGAATTTTGGTAATTCAACTAACAGATACGATGTCAATCTTGCACATGAGATGTAGGAATTATGTTTCCAGTACACATTTGTCTTATTGTTTGTTATTAAGCGGACCAAAGCATGGTCTTAATAAATTCCATTCCTTACGGTTTGTGATAATGTATTTATCACGTCATTCACATTGCACAGGAAAAGTATGGATCTAAATAGTAATCGTAACCATAATGTAGGTAGGTATGTTATGAATATTTTGCTTCCATTTATTATTATCGCCTTAAATTCTATTAATAATTCTTATATTGTATTAAAGTTTTATTTTAACTATTTATTATCCAAAAGAATATTTTAATTTTAATATGTTTTTTAAATAAATATTTTAAGCCAAATGTTAATTAATTATGCTATTAACTGAGTTATCTCCTTGCTCAATGTTTCCTTTTTCACCCTCGCCTTCCCCGAAATGAACAATCGATATCATCTATTGTTTTAAACGAGGTTATTTTAAGATTTAGGGTGTGTTTGGTTTACGGAATGTAAGATTATCAATGGGAATAAAAGATTACCAGGGAATAAGATTACTGAGAATGTTGTATTTTGTGTTTGGTTTATTTAGTAGGAATGTAAGATTACCGTGTTTGGTTAAAGGAATAAAAGATTATTGGAATGTATATTTAATCAAATTGTCATTATTATATATTTGTATAATATTACAAGTTGTAAAATATTTATATATTTTCTTTAAAAAAATAAATTCATAATATTTATATATTACAAGTTATTCTTATGGAGTTTTATATCTTTCGAAGTTACTCTAAATCTTTAGAAAAATTATGTATATTCGTCGATTGGTTATATCTTGACATGATCACAAACATATTTACATGACCTGTTAAAGTCAAATATGTTATAGAGAAAATAACCTCAGTGACAAAAAATGCATTATAATATACGATTTTAATCAACTTTTTTTGGATTTGTCAAAATGACCAACTAAATCGCAATGCGATCGATAATTCGCAACGCGATCTCCAGTATCGCAAATCAGTTTCCAGATTCGCAACGCGAACATCGACTATCGCAACGCGAACTTCGACGTCCAAGTTCGTTGCGATAGTCGAAGTTTGCGTTGCGATTTATTCGAAATTCGTTGCGATAGTATTGCATTTGTTTCTTAAGAATTTTCTCTAAAAAGATACGTGTCGAAGACACGTATTACCACGACCACGACCACGACCACGACCACGACCACGAGACGGACGGCGGCGGCGCGCGAGAGTCCCCCTTGTTCTCTATCACTCAACAAGGAAGTGGGAAAGCCAAGCCTTAAATACCATTCCCAATAGTGTTTCCAATACTATGTGGGATTGAGCATTACCAACACTTGTTCTCAATACTATGTGGGATTGAGCCTTAAATAGTGATATTATTTGTGAATTATAGTTAATGACTTTAGTATTTGTATGAAAAGTATTTGTGGTTCATTTAGTTTTCATGCAATTCTAATTTATTTTCAATTGATTGTAATTGCACGATAACAAATTTTTTTATTATCGCGAGTGATGCAATTTTTTTGAATGTTTTGCTTAAAATTGCAATAATCGCGATTGATTGTAGATTGACTTTTAATTATGACATATTTAATCGTATAATACTAATGCAATTGGTTGCTGATTCAGTTGTTTTAAGGTGCATGATTGCTAATTGTTTCCTGAATAATCACATAGTATTGGAAACAAGTGTTGGTAATGCTCAATCCCACATAGTATTGAAAACACTATTGGGAATGATATTTAAGGCTTGGCTTTCCCACTTCCTTGTTGAGTGATAGAGAACAATGGGGACTCGCGCGCCGCCGCCGCCGCCGTCCGTCTCGTCTCGTGGTCGTGGTGATTTTGGACTATCGCAACGAATTTAGAATAAATCGCAACGCGAACTTCGACTATCGCAACGAATTTGTAATAAATCGCAACGCGAACTTGGACTATCGCAACGAATTTGGAATAAATCGCAACGCGAACTTCGACTATCGCAACGCGAACTTGGACTATCGCAGCGCGAACTTGGACTATCACAATGCGAATATGTAAATCGCAATGCGATAGTCGAAGTTCGTGTTGCGAATCTGGAAACTGATTTGCGATACCGGAGATCACATTGCGAATTATCGATCGCATTGCGATTTAGTTGGTCATTTTGACAAATCCAAAAAAAATTTGGTTAAAATCGTATATTATAAGACATTTTTTGTCACTGAGATTATTTTCTCTATGTTATATAACAATCATATTTAATTACCTTGACAGCTATATATATATAATTCTATGCTCGACACTAACATCTAGGTCAATATATGAGTCATTATATATAACTCTCTGGAGATACATTCTTTCTCAACTTCTCACCATTTATCGTCTTTCCTAATTCATTATTTTCATTTTTCCCCGTAAAATCATCGATCACAACATTTCATAAATGTGTTCAAATGACAAAAAAAAATGTATACACGTGTTCAATTTCTGTTTACTGTGGAATCTGGATTACTTGCATTCAACAGAAAAGAAATGAATATGGTTAGATTTTGTTCATATCTTAAGGCACATACAAGCTGTGTTTGTGTTATATTTGTATTTTTTTATCATTATCACAATTAAATTATTTTATATTTGTATAATTTTTTAGTAAATTAATAATGTATTTTATATAGTGTAGTGGAATCATGTTAGCAAATTCAGATCTGGCATATAAACCGAATTCTTTAATGGTCAGACCTCGTGTATCAATATGGCACAAACTTTGTGAGTTGTGAATGTAATAATAATTGTATAAAAAATTGACGCTAATTTTCATCCATAAAAATATTAAATTGATGCGATTTATGAGTTAAAAAAACTTTTTTTTATAGAAGAATTAAATTGATTATTTAATGTGAAATAAAAAGATTAAAATATATTTTAGAACTAGAAATTAGTAGAAACATAAGATAAGAAGGATATAACGTAGGAAAGCCTTTAATCGAGGCATTGGACGGTGATCCGGTGAAGTTGGGAAGCAGCATTTATTAAAGCAAGCAAATTACAGCTGCAATCTCTATTTAAACTACCACAGTGTCCAACCACTGCAGTGAAGTACTCAAGAGTAATGTGAGCATTCTCTCACAAATGGCTTTCAAAGCTCTGCCGGTGTTTGTATTGGCCACTTTTCTGCTACTTTCAACAACTGTACGTCTATCTCCTTATCCCTTCACTCAAACAACCAAATCGTCTTTACTTGTCACTCATTTTTTCTCTCTTGTTTTTTTTTGTCCCTTTAGGTTGCTTACAATGAGGTGGGAGAGAAGATTGAGGAGGTTTTATGGCATTGTTTTACTGCTTATTCTCTGTTTTGCTTGTTATCATCTTTAGCTTTCATTGTTTTACTAATATTCTTGCATATCACTCTTCATTTTAAGGCTGCTGCTCCGGTGAAATCTGCACCGCCATACAAGGTCCCTACTCCACCATATAAACCCCGAGCTCCTGCACCGCCAACCAAGGCTCCCACTCCCCCATATAAGCCCCCATCTACTTCACCACTAGTCATGCCTCCAACTCCAGCACCAGCACCCGCAACAAAGGCTCCAACACCGCCATATAAGCCTCCAACTACAGCACCAGCACCCCCAACAAAGGCTCCAACCCGCCCATATGAGCCCCCAACTCCTGCACCAGCACCCCCAACAAATGCTCCAACCCCATCATATAAGTCCCCAACTCCTGCACCAGCACCCCCAACCAAAGCTCCAACACCCCCGTATAAGGCCCCAACTCCTGCGCCTCCAGTTAAACCCCCTACACCACTATACAAGCCACCAACAACTCCAGCACCACCGACGAGTACACCTCCTTACAAGCCACCAAGTCCACCATTGCCACCCGTTAGGGCAAGAAAGGGTAAAAAATATTTCTTCTTTTTCCACTTAACATTGTTAAATCTAACATCAGCTTTTCCATAACTCGGGGAACTTTATCTTTGTTTTTTTCTTCTTCCAACACCCGTTGGCAGATTGCATCCCATTATGTGGACAGAGGTGTAAATTACATTCAAGGACTAACCTGTGCTTGAGAGCATGCATCACATGCTGTGACAGATGCAAATGTGTTCCACCAGGGACATATGGCAACAGAGAAATGTGTGGCAAGTGTTACACCGACATGAAAACCCACGGCAACAAGCCCAAATGTCCTTGAAAAAAACAACACTTGTGGAGGCTGTTTTCTTATATACATGTAATAGCTAAAAGCTTGGTGTAACAAGTTTTGTAAGAAGGGAGACAATGAATGGTTTTCTTGTAATCCTAGAGCCTATGAACTTGTCAAAATGGTTTTAATTATCATAATTCAAGATATAAATTAGTGTAGATTGTGTTCCCTTTTGTTCTTGGTAATGAAATTTTCTGTTCCAAGTAAAGAAGATTGGAATATTATTAAGGGTCTGTTTGTTTTTCGTAATTAGAATTACGGAATTGGTTTTCCCCGAATTCCCGTGTTTGTTTCACGTAATTCGTTTTTCGGAAAATGTTTTCCCGTGTTTGTTTCACGTAATTCGTTTTTCGGAAACCGTTTTCCCGTGTTTGTTTCACGTAATTCGTTTTTCGGAATGTAATTCATTTTCCTAGTAACAGAATTTCCTTTGTGTTTTTTGTAAAATGACTTACGGATTCATTTTTCGTAAGTTATTTTCTGAACTTTTCACTTTAAAGTAAAAATACTCAAAATAATTTTTTATTTTATGAATTTAATATTAATAAAATATTTTAATATCATTTTCATCAAAATATTAATTATTAAAATATTTAAAATATATTTATTAATATTTATAATAATATTATATTATATTTTTAATATTATATAAAATAATCAATTATATTATAATAATATAAGATATTATATTTTTATTTTAATAATATATAATAATTTTTTTATATATATTTAATAATGAATAATATTATTTATATATTTCAATAATATTTTAGTAAAGATATTAAAATATACTAATTAATATTTTTAAAATATAATATAGTACTATTACTTTAATAAATAATTAATATAATTTATAAAATTTTATTTCACTAAAATATACCGAAAAAATGTTTAAATAACATCTTCCAAACATCATAAAACGTTTTCCAGATGTTTTCCAGAAATGTAATTCATTTTCCAGAAATGTAATTCATTTTACAGAAATGTAATTCATTTTCCAGAATTTAAATTCCAGTAATTTATTTTTCAGAATTCAAATTCCAGTAATTTATTTTCCAGTAATTCAAATTCCAGTAATTCATTTTCTGGAAAACCAATTACAACTAAACAAACAGACCCTAAGTGTATGCAAATTTGAAGTTAAAGAAGCCTAGTAACTACTAAACTAGGATGAAAGAAGCCTACCAATATAATGATAATTAAGATTAATAACTTGAAATATGATACTGTGTTTGATATAATTTAAAGTTTTATTCCTCTTCTATTTTTTTATCAGAATTTTAATTTTTTATATTAATTTAATTTAACCACAACAAAGAAAACTGCGGTTTTTTATTTTGTGTATATATATATTTTTTGATTAAACTAAAGATAATATTATAAATTAGTATCTGTTTTAAATACTCTCAAAGTTAAATCACTCTTACAATCGTTGATGCTCGAACCAATGACATCTAAGAATAACGATGATTCCTTTAACCATTGAGGTAAATTGATTCGTACTTATTTTGTGTATATAAATCTATTGTAATTTAAATTGCTTTATAAATTATAAAATAAAATTAGAATGTGCAGTTAATATTTCAAAGAAATATGCACTTTTTAGGTACTTTGATATAAAGATAGATTATTTTGGTAAGATTTTTTTAGAAACACAATCTTGGTAAGATTCTTAATTAACATTAAATTTGAACTTTAATCCTAAAACCTTAAATTCACATAATTAACTTTCATCATTAATTAATTAATTAATTTAAGGGTAAAGTACACAAATGGTTTCCGATTATAGATATTGTTTTTTTAGTCCCCTGACTATAAAAAATTACAAAATGATCCCCTAGCTGTAAGAAGTTGCCTTGTTGATTATCTCAATTATTAAAAGTTACAAAATTGTCACTCGACTATTCATTATGTTCCAAACTCTTCCTTTTCTGTTAAAAAGCTAACGATCGTTTGAGTTGGACGTTAACATGTCGACTAAGATATGATAGTTATTTGAGATTATGATATCATTTTTTATCATATCTCAATTAGTAGGTTAATATCCAATTCAAACTGCCGTTGTTTTTTTAACAGAAAATGATGAGTTTGGAACATAATAAATAGTCAGTTAACCATAACTTTTAATAGTCAAGGGACTCAACTCTCTATAGTTAAGTTACCATGTTATAATTTTTAATAGTCAAAGAACTCAATAAAGCAATATCCTATAGTCAAGGGACAGTTTGTGTACTTTACCCTTAATTTAAACAATTAATTTAATTAATTATACTATAAAATCAAGTAATACGGAATAAAGATAAATATATTAAGAGAAAATCGCCTCAGTGACCAAATTCCCATATAATATACGATTTTAACCAACTTTTTTCGGATTTGCCAAAATGACCAACAAAATCGCAATGCGATCGCTAATTCGCAACGCGATCTCCATTATCGCAAATTCGCGTTGCATTTCGCGTTGCGATAGTTGAATCGCGTTGCGATGGTCTACAGTGTCGTTGCGATTTTCCCAATTCGCAATGCGAATAAGTAAATCGCAACGCGAATTGGGAAAATCGCAATGCGATACTGACTATCGCAATGCGATACTTACTATCGCAATGCGATAATACAAAATCGCAACGAGATACTGATTTTCGCAACGCGATTCTGACTTTCGCAACGCGATAATACATAATCACAATGCGATTTTCAAAGCGCAATTAGTATCCTGGCCAAGTATTTTATTTTTAAATTCCAAACACGAATATTAATTTATTGGAACACTGAACCGTCCATAGTATATCCCGTAATCGCAACTCATAACCTAAAACCTAAAATCACAACTCAGTCCCATCTCGATCTCTCACTCTCTAACCCATCTCCGACGAAATCCGTCTATCTCCATCTCTCAGAGCCACCCTCACAATCAGAAATGGAAAATCAACCAAATCAACCAACGAGGGTTAGTTTTTTTAATTATTTTCTTTTTGAAATTTTTGCATTATTATTAGGTTTTTCATATTGAAATTGATGATAAGTTTACTGGTAATTTCAATAATAGATTAACCATTTCACTTAGATTGCTTATTAAATCAACCGAGAATCGCAACGCGATTTTAGTTTCGCGTTGCGATTCTCTCGTTGCGATAGTCAAATTCGCGTTGCGATAGTCATTTTTGTGTTGCGATTTTCATTTTCAGAAACTATTCTTCTTCTGCAAATTGAAACTTGAATGAATTGCATTACTTCAACCAAAAAACAAAGACAAATACGAAATTCACAGTGTTGCAAATTTAAGTTTGAAGAATAAACTACTACTTTTTATGTTTATTATTGTTTTTGGTATATCTTCACAGTGTAGTTTTTGGTATATCTAACTTAGTATGTTTATTGTTTTTGTAGAACTTTTATTTGGCTCAATTGACCTTAAGAAATAAAGTCAGCCTGGCCAAAACAATTGCGTCGAAGCTTTCACCTGCACAAAGAAAAATGTTTGAGGATACATGCTTCGGGCCATGGCTGAAAGTACAACATCCCGGTGGAGATGCGATGTTGACACACCTGTTTCTTCAAACCATGACTAACGATCTACCAGAGACTATACAACGTCGTGATGAAGAGATATGGTTTGATTTTCCACCGGCGTATACATGTTTTGGGCGGGAGGAGTTTTGCTTAATCACCGGTCTACGCTTCGGACACGATGATGTAGGTCGGTACACTAGACACATTACCCGTCCATCATGGCTATCCCGTGTTTTTCTTGAGCTGGAGAGGCCGAATCTACACGTAGAAGATCTGACAAGATTGTTGAATAAGAAAGATGGTTTTACTCGGATGGATGACGTCGACGTTGTCCGAGTATGCCTTCTAATTCTTTTGCATGCTGGCTTTTTAGGCAGAGAGGCCAGACAACCTATTCCAAATGATCTAATTAAATTGGTAGAAGACCTAAATGCGTGGAACCTGTTTCCGTGGGGCTCATATTTATGGAAAACTACATAGAATAAGTTATCGTCTGCCTTGGATGATCGAAAAAGTTTGCATGGCGATGGTTCCAAATACACTTTGACAGGCTTTATTTGGGCCTTTAAGGTAAGAATTTTTATATAATGTTTCCAAAATTATAAGTAATTATTTAACAATTACTAATGTTTGTTATTATATTGTTTGTAGATTTGGATATTTGAGGCTTTTCCCGCCATGAAGACATATGCAATAAAAACTTCAAATGATATTCTCAGGGCTATTTCCTGGAAGAGGAAACGGACCTTGCAATGGGAAGATTTACTACGGTATACGACAATAAATAATGTAAGTTAACATAAATACTACCATATGTTTATAAACAAGTTATTACTAGTACACGTTTAACTTTGTTTGAGCTTTTATATTGTTAGGAGGCCAACACTCCTCTACAGAGGATGACACCCACGGAAGCTGAGCTTGCCACTGATTGGTGGCAAGCTAGTAAGCATTTTTTTGATGGAACGGTTGATGAGCAGCCTCCACTTCGGGAGCCATCACCTCGCCCAGAGCTATCACCTCACCCAGAGCCATCATCTGATCGACCCGACTATACACCTCCACAACGACAGCCATCACCTATTCTGTCACATCATCGAGCCTCTTCTCCACCATCACCGCAAGATAGGCGACCGGCAAAGATGCCACGACGTTTATCTTCCTGTTCTCCACCTCCACCTCAACGGGATGAGTTAGGGGAGTTACGTGATGAGGTCAATGCCTTGCGTGAGGAGGTCGATACTTTACGCAAAGACGATGGTGTATGGCGTGTTGAGGTGTCTACATTACGCGGTGAGGTAGCCGCTCTACGTGAGATGGTAGCATCATTGTAGAATGAGGTTCATACTCTACGCAACGAGGTAAGTTTAAGATTTTTCATACTCGTAATTCATTCGGTTGCTGCCAATACTGCTAAACTGTTTTTGTTAGTATTTGTTTTTGGTTTTGTTTTTGTCTTTTGGTTGAAGTAATGCAATCCATTCAAGTTTCAATTTACAGAAGAAGAATAGTTTACTTTCGCAACCCGAAAATGACTATCGCAACGCGGAAATGGCTATCGCAATGCGAAATGAAAATCGCAACGACAAAATCGCAATGCGAAACAAAATCGCAACGTGAAATGAAAATCGCAATGCGATTTGTGTTTCGCGTTGCGATTTTGTCGTTGCGATTTC